GTATGGGAAACAGATCATGTTTTAGGTCATATTTATGCAGAAATATTGAAAATTCAAAAGGGTTCATAAACTTTTAAGCACCACTGTATTTCTACTGAACCATATGACCAGATGGGACTTAAAAGACAATGCTACCATAAAGATAGGAGGTATGAGTGCCACTAACCAAATATTCTATTGTCCCTAAAATAAGACTCTAAAGTACCCTCCTCCAACAGATTTGGAAGGCACTAGGTTGTGGGGGAAGTTACACTAGAGTTTCAACAATGAAAAGTTCCACTCTCCTGATTGGGAGCCAAAATCCTCTGGCAGCTATACAATGAAATTAGTTTGGAATATCATCTAGTTTTTCTTCAGCCTAGTTAAAAAAAAAAAAGAAACAAAAAGAAACAAAAAACACTCCTACTCAGATCAAAGTTAGTATATTATTGCTTTACTAAACTGTCAAGCCACATAGGAAATAGCCTCTCCGGCTGGCCCAACTACAATAGAGATTTTGCCTGTTAAGTGAAACAAGAATTGCTTCAAAAGGCACTTACAGATTTTATCTATTTTACTAACATTTCTCAAATTAGAATTTGGTGCCTGTTCAACTTTTTAAGTCATAGCTGCAACCATGATGGGATGTGAAGAAGGAAGTGTCCGATTTATAGAGATCAAAAGAAATATGGCTCAGAGGCTGACTACTCATTCAGTTGTGGGGACAGCATCTTTCTGAATCGGGATCCATTCTGGTTATTTGGCATCAGAGCCTGAACAGAGAGTGCCAGACTTGTTAAGAGTTTACGCAAATGAGCTTCAGTTTGTACGCTCGATGGTCTAGACCAGTGTTTTTCAAACTTGGCAACTTTAAGATGTGTGGACTTCAGCTCCCAGAATTCCCCAGCCAGCATGCTTCAACTTCTGGACTTGATGTCCACGTATCTTAGTTGCCGAGGTTGAGAAACACTGGTCTAGTCAGCTGCAGAGAGCTCAATGTTATGTACAACGAGACTCTGGGCCCTCAGTGCAGGCAGAACCAAAAATGATCCAGCTCTGTGTCAAATCTGGTGGATTTGTACATTTAATAAGTGAAAGGAACCCAGAATCATACAAATGCTGCATACAGACTTTCCTGCTAGATGAGCTCAGTGGCTTTGCCTATTACGCAATAAACACTCTTTACAAAAAGATTTATAATATGCCTTCTCCCATGATCTGCTTACCTTGCCGAGCAGCAGCCAGAAGGGGGTATACCAATCGATCTTTAAAGAGACAAGAGAGCTTCTGAAGGTCCTTATACACACCTGCAACATTTCCTTTAGGAAAAATAAAGAGGTTGATATCATCTGCTCAGGATATCCTATTCTAACTATTTGCCTCTGAGAATAAATCACCAAGCAGTAAAATAGAAAAAGTTCTCTCATTCAGACTGGCAATATGCTATAGTAGTTCGATTTACAATAGCCAGCAAAGCTTGCATGGACTAATGAATTTGGTGGACCTATTTGCATGACTAAACAGCACAGCATCTAGAATCTATGGAAAGAGTTATTTTTAGTTTTTAATGAGGAGAAACTGAAAAAAGCACATTACATCAATTGTAGCTGCTATTTTAGTGATAAATAACTAAGACTTTTTGATTATTTTACACTTGAGCCAGAAACTGTAGCCCCATTTAAGAAGCACTATGTCAAAATGCTATTAGAGTGAGTTTCTCAAAATTTTCCACATAATGGGTCCCCCTACTGAGGAATTATATGCCATTACACCACTAGCTCAATACTGAATAAACAAGGAGGTGGTATAAAGGAAAGATTAAGACTAAAATTCTTTAACATTCAGCTTTACAAATGTGAATGAGGAAAGGCTGAAAGTAGGTTGTCTCTAATGAAGCCTGTTCTAGAATCTGCATGTTCAAAACATCCCCTTTAATATAGCCTATAAGAATATGATTTCCTACAGGTACAATCTGTACCATGGAGAAATGAAAGAATACAGATTATACACATGGGCAAGTTTGGATACAACTCTAGCCTAGGTTACCTGCAGAAGCAGAAGGCAACAGGGTAAAGCTCCCAACTCAAGCATTAGCATCTCCTCCTGCCGGGGCCAAGAGGGAGAATAAACCAGAATTGGGGTGTTTTGGTAATTCAGTATTGAACTAGACTAAAAGATGGTTCAAAAGGAACTCCAGGCAACTGCTCAACAACCCAATCTTAAAACCTGAATTATTTAATAAACTAGAGTTTATTTCAAGCATAATTCTCCCCTAGCAGCCAAATAAGTGAAAGTAAACTCTTCTTGGTAAATTCTTAAGATTTAGCATTGTTATTTTTAAAAATTGGAACAAATCTCATGCTTTTATGGTTGTGGGGGAAAGAAGAGGACTATATCATAATAAATTAGTATTTTTCAGAACATCATTTTTGTCAGCCACAAACTTCTCTCTCACCTGCAGCAATTTCTCTAGATCCACTATAATTGTCTATTATTTATAAATTCTGTATTCTCCTGCTTTTAAGAGAAAACATATCCCTTGCAATAGACTAGAATACAGAATTTATAAATAATAGACAATTATAGTGGATCTGGAGAAACTGCTGCAGGTGAGAGAGAAGTTTGTGGCTGACAAAAATTGGGGGGGGGGGGCTTGGAATGTTTTGTTTTCATAGAACATGTTATTGAAGAACCTCAAAACCTGACAGGAGCTCATGAGGTCTTTGCATCTGTTTGAATAAGCTTAAAATGTTCAGTGATGCAACTTAAAAATGCCTCCTAGCCACTGCACTCTACTTTGTCTTCTAATTTGCTCAGTTAATGATCAGCATTACTGCTGCATTACTCATCTATTAGCCTCTTGCTGTTCCCCAAAATTCAGATTATATCAGATACCTGAGTCTTCAAAGCAGATAAAAGCAGCTGGCAGAAGCTGCAATCTCTTCACACTTTTGATGTCAATGTCAATCTTCAACATTGCTGAAAACAGAAAAAGACACTAAGAAAGCTTAACAAAAAATCATTCTTGATGATTCTGAAGTTCCTGGGAAAATTCAACAGAATAAATTTGCCCAATAGCAATGGGCTGTGAGAAAGGAAAGAAAAAATATAAGGCTCCTCTCCTCCCCCTTGGAATTTGTGTGACATAATATTCCAGGACATAGGAAAGAATCTAAGCAGCGTGGATTTCTTGATGTAGCAAGTAACAAGACAGAGTGATGTCATGGTTTGGTTTTATTTTGTCTGTGCTCAAGGCAAGCCTCCCTCACTTCCTTCAAAGATGATTTTTCTGAGGCCTTAACAGCAACTTAGATGGGCCTGCTCACTGTTCTCTCTCTTTTGAAGCCCATTCTTTTTCTCAGTATCTGTTTTACAGCCTAATGCTGTAAAGCATTATATTATGGTTGCTCACACAGTCAGCCAGATGTTTAGACTGGATTTGGCATTTTTGTCCACCTATCGAGTCCTTCACAAGGACCTGGGATAGGCAGATGTTGTTTAATAATATTAAAGGTATCATCGCAGGATGTAAGCCATTCCAAGTAGAGCTGCCTTTTACAATTACTGATGGTGATTTTGTCAATGCCGATGGTGCTCCAGATGTCTTGGGATTGCATCCATGGCACCTATAACTATCGGTACTATCTTTGCTTTCTTTTGCCATAGTTGTTCTACTTCTATTTGCAGGTCTTTATATTTTGTGATTTTCTCCAGTTCTTTCTCTTCTATTCTGCTTTCTTCAGGTATTGCAACATCCACTATCCAGACTTTTTTGTCTTTCTTATCAACAATTGTTAGCTGCCCTCTCTTTCCGAAGGCTCTTCAAAGAGAGCGCAGCTCTACAAAGGCTCAGGAAGCCATGTGGAGGAAACGTTCACAGGAGAAGCTGGGTCTGAAAAGGAGACAGCAAAGGCAGCTGGGCGAACAAACGCTCACTGATGCTTGCTGGCACTTTCTAGCCGCTGCGGCTTGCTGGCTCTTGCTGGAGCAGCTGAGGCTTCCAGGGGTAGCTGCAGCTTTGCACTGCACTGCAGCCCAGGGGCTTCTTGCAACCTCAGACCCATGCAGTTTTGGGGCTGCTTGCCACCTCACAAGGCAGGCTGCAGGGGGCCAAAAGGGCACAAATGGGGGGGGAATAGGGGGGGGGGGGGGGGG